AAATTTACAGTTGTTACAATATTTTGTTCCACAGTCATTGCAGACAAGACGATAAACGTAACAATGAAAATCACAAGTGAAAGCTGCGCTGATGGAGAATACAATGATTGTTTGTTATCAACGAGACTTTCTGATGCGGTAAAATATCCGAGGCCGTCTTTCTTTCCTTATTTCTTTTTTCAGTGTTGTGTGTGTACTGTTGTTAGGCTTGGTTAGGTTGAATTGGACTTCCTTAGGAGTGATTTATTTCACTGTGTTTTGCTTTTGACTCTTTTACCGGGATTCACAGCCTTAAGGTGGCTCGATACAGGTTTTTAGGGTCAATACCTCCCAAGTTTGAGCATAAACTACGTCGCCAAAAACAAAGATTTGCAAAAATTGGCACCACAGTTGTATTAGATAAAGATGAAAATTTGTTATGATCAGGGTTGCAATGACATCGGAGTTGTAGTAGCAACGAAATAACGCTATTACTTATTTTACTCGCAGCAGTATTTCTCGGCACTGGGAACTGTTCTTCCAAAATCGTTCTCGGGAGGTTTTTCCTCCAATAGGCGATGTTGGTGAAGTTTAATCGAAATCTGTAAGAGCGTTATGGAGATATTTTGGGATAAAGTTTTTATGGTTAGAAATGCGGTAACAAATTAGCGAATAATTTTCAAACCGTTACAAAGATTTTAAAAAAAATAAGATTCTTGAGATTATCCTTCCTGTTATTAAAGGCCCTTATTAAAATGGCCCTTATTAAAATTGTAGCCCTTATTAAAATAAGGCCCCCGCTATAATTCGCTAATATTTTGTCAGAAATTTTTGTTTACAAGTGAGAGCCTCTCATTATTCAGGATATTGTCTCCAAGTTTCATATTTTCGTGCACAACAATAACTAGCATTTTTGCATATTTCAAATGCATTGTTAGTTACTGCTCTTCACGTGAAAATGAAACTTGGAGACAATACCTTGAATAATGAGAGGCTTTCACTTGTAATAACGAAACTTCCGATAAAAAATTAACCAATTGTAGCCGTTATTTTACTGCCTTACAATATATCAATTATCTTGAAAGTAAAAGGTCGTATAACAGGAAGGTTAATGTCAAGAATTTTAAATTTATAAAAAAAATATCGAGCAGTTTAAAAATAATTCGCTAATTTGTTAAAGAAGACCAAAATGTTTACAAAACCGTTAACAAGAGCGCCTCGATACATACTAATCAAATCCTTCTTTCTAGCAATCGGCAGGAGCTATCTCCATGATCTTTCACGCACGCTTTTAAAAAGATTGAAACTAATATGAGGTGAAATTGCATGTCAAAAGCCCTTCGTTTTCTACAGATAATGGCCAAACATCAAGATTGTCCATTTTTTACTGTGTTTCTAACCATAAAAACTTCATCCCAAAATATCTCGATAACGTTCTTACAGATTTCGCTTAAACTTCACGAACATCGAGGCCGTTACTGGAGGAAAAAGCTCCCGTGAACGATTTTGGAGGAACAGTTCCCAGTGCCGAGATATACTGCTGCAAGTAGATTAGATAATAGCGTTATTTCGTTGCTATGACAACTCCGATGCCGTTGCAACCCTGATCATAACAAATTTTCATCTTTATCTAATACAACTGTGGTGGCAATTTTTGGAAATCTTTGTTCCTGGCGACGGAGTTTATGCTCCAACGTTTGAGGTATTGACCCTGAAAAACTGTATCGAGCCATCTTAAATGCAAATAGTCCATTTTGCAGTTAAAGGTGAAAACGAGGCTGGGGTTGATATTGTTTTGATACAACCCTACCTGCTTTATTATGTAAATCATGTTGTACTTTATGCTACCTAGTCAGTATTATTTATTAATAAGCATATTAATTTCCAAAAGTAAGAAGAGAGGTTTGTATCAAAACAAGGTCAAACTGAGCCTTGCGTTCACTTAAAGTTATACTAAGGCCACAACTGTAAAATGGTCCATTTCTTTCCAATTGGACGCACCCTCATGGGAAAACGTCCAGCTTTTCTGTTAATTCTGTAAGTAAAGGCATATTTTTCTCTCTCCCCAAGGTGTAGTTTTGATGCATTTTACTTCTGCTCTTGTTATAGCTTAATGAAGTATTTTTCAATGAAAGCAGCTATATCAGTGCCACTGTGAGGAATGTCAGGTATATATTTACAGTATATTTATTTATTTTTTTAAATATTTTTTCTAAGCTTGCGAGAGGGTGGAATCCTCCAAATCCTGCAATCTGATTAGTTCCGAGAGCGGGCAGTTTTTTTTACGATCTTGCCCGCTAACCCGGGTGAAATCGTTGGCAGCTTCAGTCACAAGTTTGTTTGCTGTTTGTGAACAAGCAAAAACCGTGATTTTAAAACCATTTTCCTTTTAAAACTTTCGCTATTATTAGCATTAGCTGGGGAAAAGTAAATTTTATTATTCAGACAAAAACTCTAAGGTAGAATCAAGCAAGTCAGCTAGGGAAACCGCTAAAGTAAAGCAAAACAAGCGGCTTATGATGTCTCTTCACTAGCTTTATAACCTACGCTGTAAGTACTGTACATGGTAATCTTGCTTTTTTGCACCGTTTATTCGACATATTTGCTCTGTTTGTAGTTTTGTTTTCCATTTTTGCTGTCTGAATCTAGATTCTGCCGTTTTTATTGAATTTTGCCTCGCTATTTCTGTACTTTTCGGGTTGTTGTCAATGATTGCATTTAGCTTTCAATCTTGCAATAAACAACACCAATCCCTTTTCCAACAGTCGGTTATCGCTGTTTTCAATTTTTAGTTTATATAATTGTTACCCATCGCCTTTTATTCGAATTTAATTCAAAACCTTAACATTGGTAGGTGTAATTAGCTCTTTTCATAAAGCCTTTGGTGCAGTTTTCATCCCGCTCGATTAAACTAATTTTAAAGTAATGTTATTCGGGAATAACTAATAGTCGTGGGTCGTGGATACAAAGTCGTGGGTCGTGGGCACAAAGTCGTGGGTCGCGGGTACCAGGTCGTGGGTCGTGGGTGCAAAGTCGTGGGGCGTGGGTTCAATGTCGGTTGTCCCCCTAGTTCCGTGAGGTTTTGAGGGACAATCTTTCCTAGTGATTAATATTAAATAAATAAGAAGTTGCGGTCACTGAGAACAATACAACGCTCCCACTTCTACACCAAAAGTCACATTCTGAAACGAGTAACAAAGATATTAACAACAATGACATTTATTACCCGGAAAGTAACGTCTACTTCGAAAATTACCACTTAACTAGACCTAAGAATCGAGTTGAATCCAGTGATGTAACTTTTGAAGAAGTACTTTCGATCTACGTAAAAGGCGATTTTAAAGAGTGTTTAACGAAACAAGTAACAGGAACAAGGAAATGTCTCTTTTTTGTGATTTTTAGTGAAAGTCACCTATCACCCTGTACCAATCATAATGGATCAATTTAACAAGAACGTGTGAAAATTTTTGAAATTTGGTACCGTATATACGAAACTGTCTCAACTAAACAACGTCAGGAGTCATTTGTGGTTGTATCTCGAAAGTTGTCTGAATCTTTCTTTAAATTATGCATGATTTAAAAAATGAATTTCACAAAAGAGTCAGATGATAGAAATTAGTTACACCGCGATTTAATGCACCCATAACTGACTTTCGCCCTGTACATGTAGTGCCAACATTTAGGGCCTCTTGTATGTTAATTTTGTCGCTTTTTTTCTTGTGGGTAGTAACATGCACAAACGGAATGACCTTTAAATTCATGTTACGTTTCTGAAACCACCATGAATCACTAAAGTTTTTTAACCATCCGAAAGTAACGGCTACCCTAGAGTAGCGGCTCCTTTTGGCTGCTAAATTCGAAGGTAAAGGGAGCCGTTACTTTCGGAATTCTAAAATCCCGGACAAAACTACTTGAGAATTTGTACCCCTTCATGCATGCGCACTATTGCACGCAACAACACTATTTCAACAACAACTGATTTGCGGTACCAAATCCCCCTCCCCCCAGGTCAATGTTGTATCCTACAAATGTCTAAGGATCAGGGTTGCTTTAGAACACACAACAACATTGCTTCCAAGGGAAGGGGGGAAGGGAGGACGCGGTATAGCGGGGATGTTAAGAAAAATGCTCTGAGAATGTGACATTTTCTCAACAGTTTTGTCCAAGATCGTAGGTAAACAACAAATGAGAACAGCTTCGGTTTAAAGACATTATAGAGAAAATCACAGGTGTTGCTGTTCATTTTCAAGGAAAAGAAACGCCTGTGATTTGCTTTATAATGTCTTCATGTTCCTCTAGCGGGTGGGAAGTGAGGTCTTCTGGAACTTTTATTAACCCGGCAATGAAATACCGATGTTTTAAAAAACACAGGTCGGGGTCAAGTGGAAAGAAACGTTCGTTATTGCATCACTCTGCATGATTTGTTTGGCCTGCGTATCATAGTAAGACCTCTTATCCCCGCTAACGATGACCAAGTCACTTGGGGGATTTGTCACACAGCCACCTGGTTTCATCAGTTCCCCACCACAGCCATAACCTACCTTTACGGGGGTTAGCTCGAGCGTCAACTACAGCGGGGATGTGTCCTGCTTATTAGCGCTCCTTGGTTGTTGTCTCCTGCCCCTTTTTCGTTTCGGCTCGTCCTCTCGTTTTTGTTTTACAGGCGATGGTCTATGTGATGACTCTGCATCTATTATTCTGCCATCAAGATCAAACATCTCCTCTCCAAGTTTTCTAGCCGCCTCTAATTCTTTATCGTACGAGGTCCTTTGCCTTTCAGGTGTGGTGGGTCCTTTACCGCCTCCTTTGGTGCCAAGTCTTATAGCCCCTTACTCCACGTTTAAACGTTTACTTTCTCTGACGTCTGCCTCTCCCACTTTTAAGAGTTTCATATGTGGAGGATCTTTTTGTGTTCATCCACCATGTATGCTTTCGGCCTGGTTCATGCGAGGCCCGGAAGGAGCGAACACCCTGAATATAAACCCCCGCCTTGCGTCCCACCATTCTAACCACTCTTTTAGCTAGTCCTCTTCTTTTTCCTGGGAAATCATTGTCATAAGCTGGTTTTTCACTTCGTCGTAGCATTCTGGAGTAACGCATTCTAGAAGTTGATGTGAAAGGTCTTTAAACTGCCCTTCATTAGAACTGCTGAGTTTTCGGCAACGACGGTTGACAAACTGTTGAAAGTGAAATTCGCATGTTTTGATACAGTGAACTACGTTTTCTCCAAACACCTTTCTCATCGCACTAAGATTCGAACCGGCCATGTCAGTGCACCAGCCTATAGCTCTGAACTGCTTTATTTCACCGTTGGAAACCTTTTCAATGACTTCATTAAATAGCTCCCAGAATAGTGTTACATTTTCGGTGTTTTCTGAAACCGCCTCCATTGCGGCTAAAGGAATTTGTCGCCGAAGCAAGGGGTGGTAGACAATGGCTGTAAGAGGAACGTAACCTTTAGCTCTTTTGTGTTTTCCATATTTATCGCAATCTTCGCCTTTAAGGTACTCAATTTGAAGACAAAAGAAGGCCTGTCTGGATTGCCTGTATTGTCGTTTATCTTGTAAATGTAGAAGGGGTCTTTCACATCACAATACTGCTTAAAATGAGCCACGGCTTCAATGTTATCTCCATATGGCTAGCGCGCGTGCCGTCTCTTTTCTCACTTCCTGCTTCCTATTGGCAATCTATCTTGCATTCAGTAACTCTTTTGCCTTTTCTTCCACCTTGTCCCAGTCCTCACGGTTTCTAACCATGGGGAGAACGTAGGCAGATTGTACCTGCGAGGGCTTTGCGTTAGGATTCTTTCTAACGTATTCTTTTATGTCCTCCTTTGTTCCAGAATGTTGAGGAGGCTTAACATGACAAGTGTGGCTTCCACAATAGTCCAGTCAATCTAGGCATTTTTGAGGCTCAACATCAAACTAATGGCAACAGAATTGTTTTCAACGCCATTGAAGTAAGGATGGGTTATCTAGCAATATACCAAAGATCCGCCAAAATCCGTTTGGTGGAACATGTCAAAATTAAGCGTTAAACATTTTGAGCTTTTAACACAGGGCATCCACGTTAGTTGAAATTATACGTTTAAACAAAAAATGCGCAAAATGTGTTTGTTACTTTTATGGAAAAGTGAAAGAAGAAATAATAACTGATACCTAGTTTTCGGTAATAAAAACGACGTGTTCCTTTTTTTCAAAAATGATAAATATTTAACGCGGTTGGTTTTTGCACAGGAAGCCCATGCTTCGCTCAAGGAATTAAGAGGCTTACGGAGTAATAGAGTGAACTTTTGGCTGCAAAACTACAACAAGTTTAGTCGCAAGGCTTTAAAGCTAAAAAATAAAAGCCGTTACTCAATCATTAGATTTTAAAATATATCCTTTTTAAATCAGATTTCTTTTACGCACAAGGGTAGGAAAAATGTATATCAGAGTTGGATTTTTGAATAACGTTACAGCCAAAATAGGGCTCTCCCCTCAAACAGAAGTCAAAAAAAAATAGCGTTGCAGCCAGTCCTTTATTTTTCTTCTCCTCCTTTCCTTCTCTTCGCTCACTCTATTTTCCCTTTCCTTGTTCTTTTCTAGGAGGATTTTCGGGCTCATTTTGCCTTCGGCTTTCGGTCTTGTCCTCAGTCAAAAGACTGCAATTTTCGTTCGGTACGTTCTCAAAAATCCAGCAAGATAATGCTTTGACTTTTAATTTTACGATTACCTATACATTAAATTCCGGTAACGTACTGTCCTCCTCAAATATACTAGTTTCACTTTTTTGAATTTTTGAAGCTTTTCCCACGGTTTTCTTCTTGTTAAAAGTGAATGGAGAGTAGTGAATTTCACAAAAATGCAGAGTTTCTGAGCAGGTTAAGCTCCAATGCCTATGAATTTGACAAGAGTGAAATGCCAGTTCATTTGAGGAAAAGTGTTGTTGCCTTCGCTAAAAAAATTATGAAGCTTAACGGAACATTCATCGCATAAGAACTTTGGTTCCAGCAAATGTTTGTTTCAAGAAAACGAAATAGTATAATAGGGAAGCTGCCTTCGCGCCTTCATTGACCACTGCAATTATTTTCAGACGTATAGGTTTCCATGATCGTTAAGAAAAATAGGTCTTCATCTGCCAACGGACGAGAAAAACTGGTCAAGGTTCAGGGTGGTTCTCACTAAAGAAATGCAACGAGGGAACTGATAAACGCCTTTAGACCACAGAGCGGTTCATCTTACCAAGAAATGAAAGGCTGCGGCAGAAAATACAAACTGAATACAAAGCTACACTAAACTAAACTGAGATCTGAAACTCGTTAGAAGAAGATAAAAAAAGAACAATCACACTGCGCTTGGTTTTCTGGATTTCCCTTACTACAGATTCGGCCATGTGTAATGACTGAAGCGCAGAGCGTTATACGATCTAGCAAAAACCAAATAGATGGAGTCCTTAGCAGAACATTTATTCACTCACATTGTAAAGTACTGAGTCATAATCCTTAAGGGGGTTGCGCATGTCGCGAGAAAAGAAAAGAATCTCTGATTTCGATCACACATATTGTCCAAGGTTATGAACATATTACATCACAAAACTCGATTACAGAAAATGGGAATAGGTTAAACAGTTTGTACTAATACAAAACTATCGTCCGTTGCAAACATTTAGTTGCACGTATCTTCCAGCAAGGATTCAAATTAAGTAGCTGACTGCAGGTGAACAAAATATCAAATCAAATTGTTCACCATCAGTCAGCTACGACATTTGCATCCATGCTGTAGGATATAAAAAAAAGTACAAGCCTGTAAAACCGCTTAAATACTTACTGCATTTCTGATTTTGCGCAAAAAAAAACAATAATATTCTAACCGTGTTAACACAGACTGACTAATAATTTCCATTTTAAATACCGTCATAGAAAAAAAATTAAAGCTTGGAAAACAGAATGTGAAGACAGTCGAGTGGCTGGGTAACCTGTGCAAAGCGCTCAAGACGAAACACTGACCCATGCGTTTCTCACACATTTAGTCGGCGTTTTTTAAAACAAAACTACCCAAAATGTACTAGCGATAAGCAATAGGACAAAGAACAGAATTATCAGATGTTTTGTCTGAATTTGTGATCTTCCTGAAATTGGGTTTCTGGTGGTGAAAGTTGAAAATCTTTATTGCCAATTTTTCTCATGTTTCACCGAACCGATTCTGGCGGATTTTTAGTATGTTGTTAAAAAGCCATCCAACAATTAAATGGCGTTGAAAAAAATTCTGTTGCAATTACTTTGATGCTAAACCACAATTTGACTGGACTAATATAAGACCTACTGTATATAGAAAAAGAATAGTGTCCGCCGTTTCTCTCGGATGTGGCTGGTCCCACCGAAGGCAAATTAAAGGGCATGGAAATGGAACATGAATTTCTGTTGGTAATATTCCGTGAAAGACTACCATTTCAGACGTTCCGTTGCTCCCGGAAATGTGCTGCTGGAACTACCCAAATAGTCAGTGTTTCGTTTATAAGCCAGGTTTTCCGGGAACGTTTTGCAACTGGTTTACAACCAGAATTGAATGAATGACCGAAAATGAGCTACAGATAGTGGTATCGAAAATGAACTAAAGTGAGCTACAATGGTAACTAAAGAAAAATTTGTTACCGGGCAATTTCATAATTTCGACGCTGTGAACTCAGTGTCGATAACAACGTTAAGATTTTGCGCTGTCAGCTCTGCTCCAATAAAAACTGCCTTGCTGGGTGAGCATAAAATTTTCCGATGTCATGCAGCTCCATGAAAAAGACAACTGCAAAGTCTGCAAAGTAACTTCAAGACCTCAAGAGACTAGGGATTTGGTTTGTTTTGGTTTTGATTTTTGTCTTTGTTTGTTTGTTCTTTTTTTTCTTTACATTTCCCTTGCATTTTCTGTTTCTTAAAAATGTCCAATAAGTCCCCGTTACAGGTCCTGTATGACTGGTGTAATAGTTATTGATTTCCGACGCTTCTCGCCATAGATCCTCCAGTAGATCAATGGTTAGAGCATCCGTACTAGAACTCGGAGGGTGGTCAGTTCGGTTCTCACCCAGAGATTGGAGTTTTTCCGAGCTTACAGGTGTTAGATTTCTCCTTTTTCTTAACGGATTTTTTCCTTGATGTTAATAATAGGAGGTCAGTACAGCACTTTTTCCTTATGCTACTTGGCAGGCTCACTCTTCCATGAATGGCCCTTCCCTTTTTGACTCGATACTTTGGATGGGAAGTAAAGCTAATACCTATCCTACCCCACCCCCTGCCCAGAAACTACCCTGAGGGACGTGTTCAAGGTCCCTTATACCCCTCGCGTTTTTGTGGGTTTACCAGCTACCAACGACCCACAACTTTTTTACCCACAAACCACGACTATTAGTTACTCCCACGTTATTCAGCCGAAGAAAATCGTTCCTGTATCTGTTTTTCCTGTGGATTTTAACAAATTCGTCAATTATTTTATCCTTGTTTGACACTCAGATCATATATTGTCTAACAAGGCAAAAAAAATGTCTCTATTCTAAAAGAGAGCTTAATTGTGATAATATAAATTACAAGCTAAAAATCATGTTGTAATGTTTTGTTTTGCAATCGACCACACGCTTCACCAACACGAACGCGACCTACTTCAACACACATAGATTGGAGGCTGAAGTAAAATTTTCCTGAAACTTTTAAATCTCAGTAGGAAAAAAAGTAAAAATGTTATCCACTGGCCTAGGTCGGTTCGTATTAGGAGCAACTGTACCCTCGGGCGGTACTCAAGACCTCGGGCACAGCTTCTCCCAATACGGACCTCCCAGCAGGTGAATGGCATATATATTTCCAAATATATCGACATCGACATCGAAGACAGAAATACGGAAATAAAGTGCCAACGAACCAAAATGTGCTATTTGAATATGAAGTTTAGTTAGTCAATAATTAACCTTTTTCTTTGCTTGTAGGTGCGGAAGTTTGATTGTCGATCTCGCCCTAAAGTTTAGTTCTATTGTCACGGAAAAACGGGTGTTAAATATCCTTAAGGAAGCTGCTAAAGATGGGACTTTTTGGGAGTTCAGTGTGGAAACATCATCGACTATAGGGGCACGACCTGCTAATAAAAGTGCAAAATCCCCAGATGGTGGTACATCTACTCCAATAACACATAATGGTATGATTTCAGGTTATTAATTTTATTCATTTGACATACAGAGTATTTTTAAGTAAAATTCTTCAGACTGTTCACCTTATTTACACGCAGCAAGGGGAAAAGCCCTCGTCAATATTTGTAAGGTGGTCTGTAAGATTACCAGAAAACCTTAGAGGATATTTTTCCAGTTTTTGCTTTGTTTTGGATTTTGTTGCGTTTTTTCTAAATATATTTGGCAAAGTTTTCAACGGTTGAAAAGCTACATGTATGTTCATCTGTGACACTTTCCTGCATACAATTTGGAAAAGGACAATATTCTTATCCATTTTAATTGATAAGAATAAAGAATGAAAATTACATTCTTCATCGGATTCCAGCGCCAGTTTTACAACAGTCTGGTATGATATTTTATACTCTCAGTTACTTTTAGTATCACTTATCGATTTTTCACAGATCTACCTCATTTTGGCGATATCATGATTATGGAATCAGGCAATTCAAGATGGAGGAATCAGAGGGCAAACCTTTCCTAATAATACTTTTCTCCTGAAAGTCACAATAAGCCCAATCTAAATAGACCTCAACACCTAACCCTTCTTTCAACTCCCAAATCTTGAAAACACTGTCTAGAACCATAGTCTAATTGTCTTATAACCTCCTTCAAGAAAGGAAAAGTATTCTGAAATAAGACAAATTACTTAATTTCACTGTCTTTCTTGAATTGAGAGATCAAAACGCTTTTATAAAACATTCAGCACTTATCGAACGAAGCTGACTAAGGTGTAAAGAATTATGCAGATAGAGAAGGATATCATCAGCTAAGGGCTGGTGGATAGCAGCCTCAGAGATACGCATAATCCTACGGTTTCAGGATATAAAAAACTTTTTTTTCTTGCATTATATTCTTTTCAAGTAGATGACATCCAATGACCCGTTCCGTTTTATGTCAGAAAGTCGGCTACTGTTTCGTCTTCGGACAGCCATGAAGGAACACGAAAGTCATTTTCCTTATTTCACTCAGTCATAAAGAGCTACGCTGCCAACGCTCTGCACAACTGAAGCAGTTACTGCCTGGAAACGAGGCTGCATGCAATATACCATCGCGTATAGTATGGTAAGCGCCTGCTGGCTATGAAGAATTAGCTGGGGAATTGAAGCTATAGAGAAACGGCGAAATGTTTTGAATGAATAATAGTTATACTTATTTAATCCTCAAACTTTACAATATTTAGAATCTTAAGAAAAATATCCATTTCCCCAAACGTCAAATTTAAAAACAAAGAATTCAGGAAATGTCAATTGTTGATTGCAGTTGAGGTCTGTGTTGGCTGCTCATGTAACTGCAACCTGTTAAAAGCCTTGGTCGGTGTCTTTGCTGCTGTAATCGTGGCACTTAGTTTCTACATCTTGTGGCTGCATAGGAAAGGTAACAATTTCATAAATTTGTACCCATATTTTCATTAATGCTGTCAACCATTAATTACTGTCTACCGATAAAGTTTGGTTTTAATTCCCCTATCAGTTTGGTCCACGCTTTCACATCGTTTATGACTTAAAAGAGTTTCATGGAGGCAATAGGTTAGAATAGAGAGACAATTTATGATATACTTTAGGAATGCATAAGGTCCGATGATTTCTAGAACAGTGGTCTACAACAGTTACACTCAATTTGTTGAAATAACCCAACCCAGAGACTTGAAGAGCCTCATTTAGCACCGCTTACGGTTACGCTTTGTTTTCTAGGGATACCAAGAAAAGCAAGGTAGGCCTGTGACTTAAAGATTCGCTTCTATATAATCACCTTATCCTCCTCTCAAAACAGTACACCTACAACTGTAAGCTTAAGAATCCTATACCGACAAAAGCTGTTTTTTTTATAGTAAAAGTGAAGGCAGTTTTTGAAATGGAGCGTCGGATAGCGAAAGAGAGGAATATACTCTCCTTTCATTTCAAAAAATGGGATAAGCTCCTAACACAGGGACATCATCTCAAACTCCTATAACTCCTATAAACATCATCATATATAGCATCATCATATAAAATAATCATAATTATTAGTATATTTTATGGAACCTTAACTATCTATCTTTTATAAAAAGAGTTAACACCACGTGAGGCGACCTTACATCTTTCTATGTATTTATTGTTAGCAGTAAGTCTGTGAGGATTTGTAAGACCGGTGTAACTGAAAAATGTATGTGGGTGTGGGGGGCATTTATATGTGTGAAGTCTTGATAAGTAGGTACTTGTGCTCATTGATAATCTATGTAGTGGTCTGTAAAGTTGCTTGTAATAAATAAGTAAATAATTAAACAAACAAATAAAAAAGGTAGGCCTATGACGTGCTGTCCCTTTNCGGTGTAACTGAAAAATGTATGTGGGTGTGGGGGGCATTTATATGTGTGAAGTCTTGATAAGTAGGTACTTGTGCTCATTGATAATCTATGTAGTGGTCTGTAAAGTTGCTTGTAATAAATAAGTAAATAATTAAACAAACAAATAAAAAAGGTAGGCCTATGACGTGCTGTCCCTTTTTACCGTTCTTAAGGGGAATTTTTTTACGAGTATCAATTTCTGCATGATTCGTCAGTAATCTCTCCATGGAGCTAGCCTCATTGACAGAATAAAAATGTTTATCCGATTGATTTCCGTGAAAATAGCAAATTATTGGATCTCGTGAACGCAAATCCCAAGAGTAAATTTTTGGCATGCTGTTTCTTTAACTACTACCGGAAGCGATTGAATCTGTTCGTTCACGATCTATGATTTATAGGATGTTCTTTTAATAATCGATTGTATACAATTATCCTGGGGTCGGTAGATGAGTACAACCTATTGGTGTAGTGTTTCTTTTAGGTCATTGAAGGAGATGAACGTCAAGGAAGAAAGAAACAGTGTATGTAGGAAGTACTTTTTTATGAAGCTATAAATTTTTTTAGTCCATTTAATTAGTTCAAAAGGCTTGTTATTTACACTGACGAATACGCAAATAATTCGAACGGGCTTTTATCTTTAATTAGCCCGCAATGGAAATGAACGATTTTCAGTCAGGCCACACATCTTCAAGAGACAATATATCTGATGTTTCGTCTCCAATCCAATATATGGCTCTGGATGCAGCACGACGTTCAAACGATCCAGCAGAAAGCCAATTGACAGAAGACGCCTCAGAACTTGGTCAGTACGCACCCTTGAATCTATCGACTCTTTCGTTCGAGATTCCCCGAGAAAACGTGACTATTGAAAAGATAATTGGACAGGGCTCTTTTGGTCAAGTTGCTAAGGGAACAGTCATGAGCCTCCATGAAAGACCCCAAGAGACCCTTGTGGCTATTAAAATGCTTAAAGGTATGAGTCGAAGTAAGGAAAATTCTTAGTAAACAATTGGAGAGCCAGTGTTGTCCCCACAACTAAGGACGCTATAACTCATTAGAAGAAGTAATTCCTGCCCATTAACAGTCATCACAGTGTGCCAGGGGCACAGCCAAACTTTGGCCGGTGGTAGGCCACAGTTTCTCACGTCATTTCCAAAGTCCTTGTAATTACGTTTGCTTTTCTATGCGTGAAGCATTTTTGTGGTTTTTGGTTAAAGCGAACGCGTTGAAGGGAGAGCCTACGTAAGAGTGGTGTGTGTGTGCTGTAGGGGGGGGGGGGGGGGGGGGGGATGGGGGGTTGGGGCGATGTATGTTTTTTTGAAAAAATGGCAAATTTTTTTTTTCTGAAAGGGTTAAAAATTATTTAAAATTTTTAATCGTTGTTATTTTGTTAAAATTTAATTTCAAAAAAATTAATTTAAACAAAAATGAAGAAAGTCCTTGAGAAAGTGCACCTTTAGCTCAAGTTATGGTGCATAAACTAAGTAAATTCTACAAACGTAGCTCATATCTCTTGCAGCAAACGCTCCAGAGCCTGACAGGAAGGATTTGTTATCAGAGCTTGGGGTGATGAAGACGTTAAAGCCTCATCCACACGTCATCAAGCTGCTGGGATGCGTCACCGAATATGGTAAATTATTTGCAAAAACATCAGCGCCTATCTTTAACCCTTGTTTGTCAACCCTGTATAAAATAAATGCTGTTTGTTCTTGTTACAAATATATGCTGATTAAATTGACAGACGTTTTCTATTATACACTTGATATACTGTTATCATGATCATCTGTAAGATATGAGCCTAGTAAGTTTCAATTTCACGTAGATCCCTTATTGGTATTGATTGAGTATGTTCCGTATGGAGATCTCCTTGGTTACCTGAGAAAGAGCCGTGGATTAAATGACACTTATTACAAAGACCCAGATATCAAACCACAAACAAGTTTGACGTCACAACAGCTGATGAAGTTTGCTCGGGAAATTGCTGATGGGATGAGTTACCTCTCCTCGAGATCTGTAAGTTGAAGTATTTTCTTGCTGTCTTTGGTTCTGACTGTGACATTTTGCAAAGTAATCAACAGACGAGAAAGGTGTCAGCACCTTTTATTTCAATTGTGTGAATATACTTGAATAACGTAACGTTTACGTAACGTCACGTTTAACCTCTCTTAAAATATTAATGTATATACAGGGACCGCGGAGCAAGGTGAAAAGTGGCAGGGCTGACAATTGAAAACATTTTTTTCATATTGAAAATCGAAAAAACGAATAAAATCATAGTATTTGATTTGTTTCTGTCGCGTGACTTTGCATACTTTATCCAGTGTATTTGTTGCTCTTTATAGGTCGGCCAACATACACGGTCAGTTCAGATTCAATGCAAGAAAAGACGCGATTACAATTTAAGTATAGAAAATACTACACTGAAGTGATCTGTAAAATTTCTAGCTATCGCCGTTCACTGTTCAAGTAATGTAATTCTTCTTGCCATCGAATATTTCATTGATTCGAAAGGAGAAACTGACAAAAGATAAAACTTTTATCAACTCAAAACAACTACTCACCTTCGTTTGGCTTGAAAAAGCTAGTAATTTTCTTCATTTCGTCTGATAAAACTGATAAAAAACTCTGCCGGAGCTGGAAGTACAAAACAAGCTGCCGAAAGAAGCGAAGGGGTGGCCAAGGCATGGCGTTTGATCAAGGGGCAAGTCGGCCCCGGAGCACAATTACCGCGAAAAGCACAGGAGCCCCACAAAATGCCTGGCGTTTGAAATAAAGAAAATACAGAGAATATAGCGGAATATAGACGGAAAAAACTTGTTTCAAGTCTTTTTTTATTTTAATTATTTTTCTTTTTAGCGCAAAAAGTGGGGGCGGGGGCGCAAAAAAGTGGTGGGGCCGCGGCCCTACCAGCCCCTCCCCCTCCGCGGTCCCTGATATACATCATTAATTGTATTTCTACAATGTAGATCTAATGAAATCTTTCACAGATTATTCACCGAGACCTTGCCGCTCGAAACGTTCTGGTTGGAGAAAGAGAGACTTGTAAAGTGACTGACTTTGGGATGGCAAGAGATGTGCAACAGGAAAACATATATGAAAGGAAGACAAAGGTGTGTAAAGCATGGGAAAAATACACATAATGCAGAACCAGTATAATAGAGACTACGAAAGGCTTGGTTTATGTCATCAGTTTCTTGGTCGAAAGTCTTAAAAGGAGCTACACCCCAAACCAAAAGTTGCAAATATGTTGAGTTTTTTTTTGTTTGTTTGTGTTTGTTTTTTTTTTTTTTCACAGATAGCCCTTTAGATTGGAGCCAGAGTCTGTAACGTCGATGAAACACGTGATAATCCTGCTTTCACCTAACTTAGAATTTAGCCTCTAATAAGAGAGCCCCTTTAATTTATCCTCTCTTGCCTGTAATAGCAGAGAAATGGATAGAGTTGCTTAAGGCTGCAGTGAGTCATGGGCTTTATTATTGCAATATACAGTAGGTTGAGGCATTTTCTCCCCGTTGTTTTCCACCTTCTGTTTTTAGGGGTTCTCGTGCTTGGGTTTGATGCTCATACTTAAGACGTATTTTGCTGTTGCCTCCGACATTAGTTTTTAGGGAGAATTAATGAGAGACCTGGTTGCTCGGCTCGGAGTTTGTTATAGAACAAAACAGTGATCATAACGTTCGAAACATCGTTTCAAGATCTTATTTTTTGTCTTTGCTTTGATGCTTTAGTGAGACAGTGCATATATTTGTCATTTCTCGGCTTACATTCGTACATGCTGACTATCCAATATTCTCCGTCCAGTTTGTATCTGTATTGCTTTCATTGTCTGTCTTTGTAAGGGTCGTTTGCCAGTGAAATGGACCGCATATGAAGCTCTTCTTCACGGAAGATATACTACCCAAAGCGACGTGTAAGTGTAAGCTTTTCTTTTCACTTTTTAATACAAATAAATGAATATTTAACGTCCGCAGAGCAAAAGCTGATAGTCATCGCGCGTGTCATGGAGAAAAGGGACTACCAGACCTTTCAACGTCCGACTTATCGGAAGCAGAGCGTTTAAATTAATGATCGCTCATCGGAACACATAAATTTTTGTGTGTGGTGTTTTGGGTACCTCAGGGATCCCTTTTGTGTCCTGTGTTATTCTACCTATATGTCATGAACTTGAGGGAAGTACTTCCAGCCAAAGCAAAGTCATCAATATGCGGACGAAACTACGAATTATAGTAACTGTAAACTGTATGAGCTTTAGAGTTATCACTCCAGGCGAAGATGCAGATTTTGTTGTTGATGTGGTCATCACAGTGTAACTTTACACTCAACCTTAACAGGAGCAACCAACGATGGTTTCCTCCTAAATACATTGAAAATACTTTTTAGGCTATCTAGAATACATTTAGATATTAAAAAATGCATTTTAAGTGGCGCTATAAAATTTTTATGTGTTCCGTCATCCTAGGGTAACTCGAGTCTTTCCGATATTTCAAGGGCTTGGGTATTATTTTTCCGAACATTTTAGATGAAATTTGACGTATTACGGAGGTGAGACTTTTTCTGATTCCTCTCGTCATCACGTTTTTGAATCCAGAAATTTGAGGTTCCCTTTTTCTACGAAAAATAGTCTCACTTGGGAATTAAAATGTGTAATTGTATAAAATTTAAAAATGTGAAAAAGAAAAATGTGAAAATTAATGTGAAAAAGTAAAATGTGAAAATTAACTTCAGAAAATCCTAGGAAATTTATAACATAAGCTTCGAAAATTGTAAATGAATGGGACGGTCATCTAGAGATTTTTAGTCGTCCTCAAGTAATAGAAAATTCTAGGCAGTATTTTTTTCTCCTAACAGATATTGTAAAGAAAACAGTCGTTGGGTGCCCCTGACCTTAAATCGAACAAGATTAGACTAAAAGGTTATACTCCATCAATTTCTGTGCATTTCAACCTTCCTACGAAAGTTCACGAAAAGCTCTGAGATGAACCGCAAGATCTCAAGTGTCTGTGCTGAAGAAGTTGAAATACCTAGATCCGTGTATAACGTTTGTATAACATCAGATTAAAACACTTTGCATAGGATTCGCAAAGAATGACTCCTAAGCAATTTTTGTTTTCTAAGACGACAACAGGTAGAAAAAGCTAGTTTTGTTTTCTTTTTGAGCTACTTAAGCAAGATTTGCTTAAGTAGGATTGCCCCCAGTTGTTACACGCAAGGAGCAACATGCATTTGCTAAATAGTTGCACTTTAACCATTTGACTCCTTTTACGCGCGCTTTTAAATAAGGTTTACATTTTGTCCCAAAAAAGGCTCCAAAAGGCTCCATATTTTCTCAAATCACACTTTATGTTGCTTATATGAAGTTGATTATCTTATGATTCAATTTCATTCGTTTTTACGCCATTTTGGACTAACTTTTGGGCAATATTTCCTCGCTGTGCTAATGATAACCTTTAAAAATGGCGTCAGACACGAATGAGGTTGATCGAAAACATGGGGGAGAGGTGTCCCCAAGGAAATCTTTGTTACAGCCCGCCTGCCAGTCTGACGTCACGTCTTGCGTCAGTGACTTTCAAAATTGCGAGGAAAGTGTTCATCGAGGAGACGGATAAAAATTGCGATTTTATCACGGAAATACTGTTCCGATTTCTTGGATTTGGAGATTTTAAGGTTTTTTAAAAAGTGCTTTTTTGAAATGAAATGTCCAGTGGTGTAATGAATTTTAAATATTTCTTTCTATCGTCAAGCAAAATTTACGGGCAATCACACCGACCGGTCACACTTTTGAGGGCCAGTGCACAGCAAGATTGAGTAGTTTAGACACAGCAATAGGAGGCTCATCAAAGGATGTATTATACTTTACATTGTGCGTATTTCAGCTCTTCAGAGCTAGTGGAACCCCATATCATTCTTCTCAAAGTTCGCTCAGCTGTAGAGTTGAAAGAGGAAGCTAAATGAAAGGTATTTGTGAGAGACTGTTAGCACTGAATCTTGTTGCTTTACCGCATGTTAATACTGTATTGGGCATACACCCGTAATTCTGTAATTAAATCCCGAAAACCCATAAAATTCGTTTAATTATTTTTGGGGGGCAACTGACCGTGTGGAGATTTTAGGGTAATAATATTGATGATTAAGACGATGTACAAAAAGCACGTTTAACTTTCGCCAGTGGGTCACTGGTGGGTGTTGGGTGTAAATTAGTACAGTTTGTGATGTACTGTGCGTTGTTTGTCACGATGTCAACTAAAATTGAAAAAAATTCAGCTCTTTCAGAGGAGGGACATGTCTTGACAACTTATGGTTTTTTTCTGGTCGTAAGCTTGGCCAGTATGCAGATCAAGAGCTTTTGAAATCCCTTTTCCAAAATAAAACTCCAAGTCCAGCAGGGTCAGCACTAAGAATAGAGAAAAAAGGCCAAAAGGAAAAATAGTATTGAAAAAAAGAGACCAAACAGAAAAAAAACGGTACAAAGAAACAGAAAATAGCGTCGCCAGGAGTCGAACCCGGTTTATCTGCACGTGCAAGCAACTCCTTGACCACTGTACCACAGTGACACACTTGATTTGAAAAATTTTGTCATGTCAAAGCAATTTTTCTCTGTCATAGACGCTGTTTGAAGCTGGTGGAGCTGTATTTATCATTAATTCAAATATACATTTGAGGAAAATTAGCTTAAGCGCGTATTTCAAAGCTATTTCGCATTATTTCGGGTTCAACGGGCCGACTCGATGTAGATAATTGATCGAATTAGCTTTACTGAATTTGGTGGAGAATTAGGAGATCAACAGAGGCCCACACTCGAAAGGAATGATATGAAGTTAGGCCCGTTTAATTAGCAAAAGAATAGATGAAATATAAACATGTGTGATCTGTGAATGGAACCTCCTATTCTGGAGACTAGACCTTGCCTATTTTAGGGAAAAAAAAAATTTAAGTTTCGATGACCTTGCCGGTTCTGTGAAATAGATGGCGATCCCGCAACACGGCCAGCAAAACAAATTAACAAAATTACACAATCACAGACACAAAATATCAAAACGGTTTACACAAGCAGATTAAAGCAACACCAAAGCTCACACACATTTGATCAAATAAGCGATATATAGCGATATTTGCTAGCTTCTTAGCTTTTAATCGACCTCGCTCGTCCAAATAACTGTCGTATCCCTTGCTAATTTGTACAAGCGACCCGAGGCTCTTGCCTGTTACTATGTGACGCCATACTGGCGGGCGGAGTGGGTCAAGAACCTTAGGTGGAAAACAATAGATTGACCTTCCCCCCCTGGTCGAACTATATTCGAAGCACCGGATTTTAGCTATGATTCAGGTTAGGTGAACCCGTACCAAACCAAACACTATAATTTTTAACATCTACTCTACAACTGGGCTGAAACCAAGTACACTTGCCCCATTTCGAAAAACACAAAAAAAGGTAAATCAGAGTAAAACGCATTGCTGAGTTTTTGGATTGATTTGGACAGATTGGACGTCACCAGTATGGAATTTCTGTCACTGAGTCGCAGACGTTCCTCCTCGCGAATCGTCTCCAGCGATGAGGAGCGAGGAGAAAAGGCTGTTTTCGCAGGCTTCCCTCGGCCTAGTCTCCCAACTTCTTCGCTTATGTTCATTGCCCCCTTAAATTTTAATTACCGGACGTCAACTAACTATTTTTAAATGGCCTTCCAACCAAGACCTCAAATATTTGCCATTTGTTTTTAACTAGACAGCAGCGAAAAAAAACCTAATTCGGTCACTTGACTGATGAAGTCATTACCCTAGAGGAAACGTGGGAAGACATTTTATGGCAAAGGTTATCTTCTTGTGGTCTGACATTCTTCTTCGTGTAAAATTGTCAAAGTTATAAAGCTTTTTTAAAAAATGCCTCAAAGGATTCTGATATAATTTTTATGATAAGTATAATTTGCTTTATTATTATTATTGTTGTTATTGTTATTATGCCACTGCATCCTAAACACAAACTTCTTCCGTACAGCTGCTATGTCCTATCTAAATTGCCCTGGCATTTCAGTATAGCAAATATATCCAAAACCTGGATAACGGAACATCTCGACTCTGTAGTGAATGGCTATATTCGAAAATGGCTTGATATTCCGATATCTGGAACACTGAGCAATGTTTTCCTAGAACGCAATAAATTTGGTCTTAATATTTGTTCTCCCTCTATTAAATTTACTCAGTGCCAAACAGTTCTCCGAAATTCATTAAAAGAGTCACCAAATGCTTCCTTAGAAGATCTCTGGAAATCGTCAAGCTGTCACACTAATATTCAATATGATGTGTACAAATTCACTAAAGAAGTTCTTAAAGATTTCCGTTCTAATCAAGAGGATAAATTGCAACACCACCCAACATCTCAAGGTTTCTTCTTCTCAAATGTTATCAAGTACTCATTGTCATCTGTAAATTCTAGTCAGAGGCCCAGTCTCATCTACCCAAGAACATTTACAATTTTACCATCCACTACATCAACAACTCCCTCCCTACACGTAAGAATATGGCAAGATGGGGATTATCACAAAGTCCTGATTGCTCCTTTTGCCCTAATCCTGAATCACTCCTTCATGTTGCCGCTGGATGTCAACAGTACCTCGATCGCTTTACCTGGAGACACGACTCAATCCTTAACTTCATTGCCAAGTCACTTCAACCTGTAATTAATGTTCACTCTTCACTCTATGCAGATGTTAATGGTTTTCTGAATCCCTCAATAATAACTGGTGAAAATTATCGTCCAGATCTTCTTTTCCTAATCCAGTCCAAGTGCCTATATGTTCTAGAATTAACAGTTGGTTTCGAGTCTAACCTTAACAACAATGCAGTGCGTAAGAAAGAAACATATCTGAACTTGATCAACGAAATGAGTAGAAATTACAGATGTGTGAGATTTGTAAATCTCTCCATGAGTTCTCTTGGCGTTTTCTGCGATGAATGCTCCACGTTCTTAGACATGATGAATGACATTGGCATCGACAAAAAGCAGCAACGTAATATAATCAAGAAAATGATAAATATAGCCATTAGAGCAACATATTACATCTTTTGTTGTAGAAATAGGAACTGGGATAGCCCAGACTTAATGCAATTTTGATTTTTTTGTTTGGCTTTTGTTTTGTTTTGTTTTTGTTTTTTGCTTTTGTTTTTTGTTGTTGTTGTTGTTTTTTTCTTTTTAATAGAGACTTTAAGATCTCGGACGCGACGACTTCTAGAACGCGGTGGCTGATAAAGGACTGGAACTAGAACGCCGTCGTTTGAACGCGAAAAGTAAAGTTAAGATCTCCGTCGCGATGCAAGACGACGCGGCCGCAAACCGCTCTTTGTCAGTGTGATTCTTCAGCGATTCTTTCGCAGAAATAGCCATGGCATCATTTAAGAAAGTCCAAGAAATGCTTGGTTTGTGCTTTGTTCGATAGCATCACCTCCACTTCTTCGTTGACGCTTCGGTTTGTCACCGCTTTCATCCGCTGATGAACCTCTTTTCTTCGTCTTTGACAGCTTCTCCATCGCTTGTAATCTAACATCTTCCGCTTTAGCCCGATCGTATTGACGTTTTTTGCTAGCTGTTCCCTGTGTTTCCTGTAATTACGCTTCCTCACTTTCCTCCAACGCGATTATCATATCCAATAGGTTTTCTGGTTCCGTTGGCTCATCGGGAGTTATCCCAGTTGCTTTTTCCTCCGCTAGAAGTTTCTTTTTATGCTTGTAAACAAGGATTCCCACGTGGTCTCGGACTGATCGCTTATCAACCCTGAATTTCGGTACAGTGTATTTGTTCAAGGTGTCTGCTATTTTTTCCCACATACTGCTTCTTTGTGCTGACCCTTTCTTAGTTGTGTAGGGATTTACATTGACGACTTCTCTGCGCAGAATGGCTTCATGCTCATGTGTCCAAAACATTACTGAACTTAAGAGAAGCATAAAAACACACGCAGTTTAATAAAATTAAATCAAATAATACAGGCTTAAAATTGGCTTTTAGCGGAAGATGAACGCAATAAATCGAGAATTGCAACGGTACAAGAGACGACAAGAGTATGCAGAAGACCCCTGCATTCACTATTTGTAGTTTTAGCTCGTGTCTTACTTGCAAGCCTTGCTCGAAGTCGAAGTCGAAGGCGCTGCCATTTTATAAGCTTCGTACACCTGAAAGAAATTTAAAAATAATCAAAATCCTTCCATCTCTGCGATCTAAAATGTCGCCAGAAATTACGTCCAATGATCCTAGAAGGCTGATTTTATATGTTTAGAGCAATATATCATCATTTAATTTAAGCACAGGAACAAATATACTCACGTTTTGTACAGAACGTCAAACTCGCAAAACCCACGTTCTCGACGCGACGTGGTGACACCAGGACGACGGCTTGAGCATGCGCAACGTGTCTCCTCTTTGAAAATTTACTTCCTGTCGCGCGTCTTACAGCCGTCGCGTCTCGGATCTTAAAGTCCCTAATAATCCAATCTCAAGCAGCATTTGTAAATTGCCTATACGTAGGGAGATTTACAATCGACATTCAAAAACACAAATAAAGTTTCCATTATTATTATTATTATTATTATTGTTGTTATTGCTATTACTATTATGTAATTGGTTTAGCACAAATAAAAAAAATTAAAAGTAGATTTAACTGTATATTAAAAAAATAAATTAAACCAATATTTAATCCCAGATATGTCTATGTTTTTTTTGTTTTCATAGGTGGAGCTATGGGGTCTTGCTTTACGAGATTTTTACAATTGGTAAGATGCCATAAAACCTTCTGAAGTCTTTGTATTTTTTTAAGTTAAAAAACGTGTAAAATATTCTGAACGGAGGAAAATATATCAAGTTTTATTAAAAACTGAATCATTGGATAATGCAATTCTAGAGCTCTGATTGGCTTGGCCATCATGATATGTTATATACTTAATGTCAGATCCCGAGGGAAACAATTAGTTTTGTTTTCCCGGGAGTCCACACCAGGACTCGAAGGAAAACAAAACTAACTGGCTAACTGGTCTCCCGAGGGACCTGACATTAAGTGTTTTTTTATATTTTTAGACTTTCACTTCAACACCAACAAAAGAATAACCGGAGCGAATCAAAACAGTCGATTCAGTACTTATAAGAACACAAACATAATTCTTAAAACTACTGAATGAATGATTTACAAAAGTACTTTCCGTATAGTATCTGCATCTTTTTCCTCCACTCTTCTGGAAAAACTTTGAAAATTGTTGCTTTTATATATAGCTTGAGGCTTCATGATAGTGTTGTGGACTCTTGTTGTGCCATCCCCGGGAGTGAAAACTGGCAGTGTTTTCCCCGCCTTCTGTCAGGCCACTTTCCACCACGCTTTGATCACGTGCTTTAATGTATCCCGAGCGGGGTACAATTGCTCAAATGTGCCACGAGCGGGATACATTCGATTTTAGTCAAGGCCATGTGACCAAGAATCAACCAATGGAAGTCCCTGTTTAGTTGAGTGAAAGTCTAGGAATATAACAAGAGCCATATACCATGCTCTCCAAATATGGTAACAGTACGCGTTTGCTTAAAATTGAAAACAAGTTGAAAATCGGTTGTTTTTTTTACAAACAAAGACGGAAAGAATTCTCCATTTTATGGGCGTTTTTAATAGAACAATTATCCCACTCGCGCTTGTTGGATATGAGATGATTATAGCCAACTTGTATCCAACACGCACTCGTGGAATAATTGTTAAATATCATACTTAAAGCAAGCATGATTGGAAGTTCCAGCTGTCTGACACAACTTGTTTAACTCATATTAGTTGCGTTATCAAGTCAGCTGGCAGTAACATCATCTTCCAAATAGTTACCTTAATGAATTCTTGATGCCAAAATGCTGGGTGAATGATTAAATTGTTCTTTTACATCAGGGAAGTGAACATCACCTATTACACAACAATATAACAATATATAAGTGTGCCAAAATGTTGTTATATCAAAAGCTGGTTTTGGTTCTTTTCAGGAGGTTCTCCTTATCCACGAATGGATGGCAGGAAGATTGTAAATTTACTTCAGGAGGGATACAGGATGCCTAAACCAAAACATGTGGATCATGAACTGTAAGTAATTATTTTTGTGTCAGTTTAATGGCTTTCGTAGTGTTTTACTGTCATACTAAGTAACCCCGAAATGATAATAACTTAACTATCAGAGGTAAATTCGTAAAGAGTAGAAAGCAGTGGGCTTCCTGTACTTTATAAGACAAAAGGTGATAAAGTCATTCTTGTGTCGTCTTGAAAAGACTTGAAGATTCTTGGTCTTCATATCGACGATAAGCTGTCCTTCAAAGACCACCTGTCAACTATTTTAGAGGGTCTATGCCAAGATTGGAGCTCTGAGACGGTTTAGAAAGCTGGTGCCTGCTGACACCTCACTTACGCAGTAAAAAGGTTATACACTCCCACTTCTTGAATATTTTAGTCCCTTACTGTTAGGGATTAACAAGACTCTGAACAAGAAACTTGAATCTGCAAACTATTATGCCTTAAAAGCCCTCTTAAATTTCAGAAACAGCTAAGATTATGATTCTATTGTCTGCCGTAGACATGCAATCACTGGAACATAGCCGGTACTATCAATCTCTTATCCTTCTCTGTAAATTTATGAAAGGAAGTGTTATTTTTCTAATTTATTCGAACCTCATCGTATTACTTGACCTTAAGGAGTAGTGAACACAAATAATCTCACTCAACCATCTTATAATAATCGATATCATCACAATACTTTCACTTACAAGGCTTCGCATTTGTGGAATCAGCTACCTTCCTACGTCAAGCTATCGTCTGAGGGCTGCGTGAATTTTGCAAGAATTTGAGATCATTTAACTTCATAAACTAAGGGCCAGTTGCAAATGTTATTATTGTATTTCTCAGGGATTTTTTGCTTATTTATATATTCATAATCGATATCGTATTTTACCAATGAGATTTCCATAGTCTTTAATTAAGTAAATGGTGGGAGCAGGAGGGTGTAACTTCAGTACCTCTTACATTCCCGGATATATTAGTGTTTATAACAGTCTTATCTATTTGTAATCTTTTAGACTATTATCATTTTCATGTTTTGTATTATTAATAATAACTGTTTTTGTCGTACGTTTTATACGGCTTGGATACTCGGGGAACTCTATACCACGCTGACATTAATAAATTGATTGTTTGATTCATTGATGACATATTGCACTTAAATTAAGAGGATTTTGAGCTTGAATGAAAAACTATAATTTAAGTCACTCAAATAAAAAAAATCCCTCCTGTATATCATGGATATGTAGTTTTGGGAGACGAAACACTAGAATGGAACGTTTATTTTACAGGGAACACTTTCCACTGGTCTCGTTTCGCAGATAAAGAAACATGTCCTTGCACTAAGGATCACTTTATTTAAAGCGTATTTTAATTGTATCAATTACTTTGTATTACTTCTAGGTAAAGCAATGGTGCTGACCATTAAGTCAAAAATCAAGAATGTAAAATATGGGACTAGTTGGACTCCTTAAGATTACAATGAAAGCCACCTATCATAAATTGCAACCGAAAATTAAATTGAGGACTGTTTTTCAAGAAGTTCTTTCCTTTCGGTCAGCATAGTAAGGATCAGAGGAAATGTCGCTTACCAAGCAATTTGATTTTGTGACAGGTACAAAATAATGACACTTTGCTGGCTGGAAGATCCTAGTGCAAGACCTTCTTTTTCTGAGCTGGGGGTGAAGCTGAAAAAGATGGAGAACCAACATAAGGTACGGTAACAACACGAAAAAACATGGTCAACACTGAGTCTCCCTGAGCGGTCCTCCTTCAATTTTTTTGATTTCATTACTGAAATTGTGCGGAGCTGCATGCCTAGGTTAACCTGGGTTCTGTTATGCTATTTTGGCAGCCAACTGCGACCTTTCTCCATCCTTGTTTTTTATACCCTAGATGAAAAACTACTGTAGTTATTGTTTATTGGAGTGATTATGTTGTTAAGTTGTGCGAACACGCTGATAGTAAGAGACCAATGGACGACAATAGCTTCCTATGAGTATTTATTTATGAAAATATTCTTCTTATTCTTATTATTATCATTATTATTGTTATTATCGTTATCATTATTATCATCATCGTTGTTATTACTACTAACTAGTATTTTACTATCTAAGAGCAATCAAACCTTTCCTTTCCTTTTTGAGCTAAACAGACCTCTGCGTAGGAAGGCTGCTGATATGGCTTCTTAAATGATGATATGTATTTTTTTTCTTTTCAGGGGCTAATAAACATGAAATTGTATGACCAACAGCTATATGCAAACGTTGAAGACTTGACCGTGTAAACTAAAATAGCCACTCAGGGGAGTGCATTAAATAACCGGTCACCGGTTCAGTCTTAGTAATACTCTACTTTACAAGATACAGTTTAAGATAAGATACAGTGGAAGATAGAACAATAGTCTTAGCCAAATTCCGCTGAAAAAATTGTTACAGTTTGTTCATCGAGAAACTTGTTTCAGAGTCCCTCCACAGTGAGGGCTTGGAAAAAAAGCTTTTCAGAACTTCCTGATTGTGGTGATTGTTTTGTGAATATATGTAAGTCCTCGAAAGATAATAAGCTTAGACAATTCACTTTTAAGGTTGTCTACGGAATAATCACGACAAAGAAAGGACTACTGAAATATAAATTAGCTGATGACAAATGTCGTTTCTGCTTTAATCCAGATTAAATTGGACACACCTTTTTATATTGTCAAGAGTCAAAGGAATTCTTTTCCAAAACGTTAAGGCGGTAATTCATGAATATCATAAAGAGAACTTACAACTTTCAAACAAGCAAATTTTATTTAACACGTTCGATGACTCCCTTCCAATGCAAACGCCAAATTCAACTCAAAGCAAACTTGGTCTATTGGTTTTACTGCAAAAGAAATACTTGTATACTTGCAAGAGCATTGTAACGAAACGTAATTTAGATTAATTTTTACGTAAGCTTTTTGAACAATATCGCATTGAAATTTGTGGCAAACAATATTAAATAATGTGTGGCAACTGAAAGGTTTTTTATCCTTCAGTACTTTTTATTTTTATTGTAATTTGCTTTGTTACTTACTGACTTATTTTTTTATTCTTTTACTTTGTGCTGTGTATTAACGTTGTTAACTTGTTGTCAATAATATATATATATATATATATATATATATATATATATATATATCGATGAATCTTTAAATGCCATTTAGCGCTGTAACCTCTTACTATTTTTGATATGTTTATCATTATTTTCTATAAATTTTATCAAGTGAACTTGATTTTCACTGTTAGTAAGTTACTATTAGTTATTAGCTGTACCTCAATAACTATGATTATTGTCTAATTTTATTAAAACTGACAAACGACATGATATTTTTTATCGTTTACTGACTTCTACTACCAGTCAGTTCTTCTAGAAAACGTTTCACTTATTCGGTAAACCGGATAGAAACATCTCTTAAAGGTGTTTATCTTAAGCTGGGATCAATGATCCAAATTTAAGGTATCATCCGGGGTAAAAAATAATCATTTTTACAAATTTGCAATTTTTAGGCGATTAAATAGAGCTCATAAAGAGCTTTCTTTTAAAAAAAATTCCAGGAAAAAGTGTTTTTTCTGTGCAGACTTATGGAGTGTAAAAGTTTTTTTTATACTAATTATTTTAATTGATTGTTGACAAGTCCTGTCATACTTGATACGCGTGCCGCTGTTGAACCAAGCTAATCACGCAATTTGACAGAAATCGTGGTTTACAAGTATAGTGCTCACTGTTTTTCCCTGGAGTTTGAAAGTGAATGCGTCCAAAGAAGAAAAAAGAGCTTGTCCGTTTTCGTCCTCGACTCCAGGACAAAAGAAGACGACAAAATCGTTTTGCGGCCAAAGAGTGGGCTTCGAAATTAGCAGAGAGCGACAAGGGCTCCTACTACAATCAAGAAAAATGGCTAAAAGATGACAAAGCTGACCCATTGAAACTACCGCGGAATCGAGTTTCACGAGTTCGTTAGCGAGCGGAGCGAGCCTTTTAGCTGGGCTTTTTAGGCCGCGAAGCAGCCAAGCGAGAGACGAAGTCACGAGAGGTCCCGCGCCATATAAAAATCGGACGAAATACTGTTTTGAAAGTCTATTGTAGCGGGAAAGAAGCTTCAACAAAAACTCCAGGAAGCGGTTTGTTGTCGATTTTTGCAGGGAAGTGTCGAACTTTTAAAAAATGTATCGAGTAAAAGTGGGCTTGGCTCAACTTGGCTTGACCGGTGCGAAAATGAAAACTACCCGTTGCAAATAATTAATGAAGCTTTCTCAACAACAGAAAGGATCGAACAGAGCAGAGCCTTTGAAATAAATTGTTCATCTGTTGTCGGGTTTCGTTTTCAACTTTTCCTGCTGTTTCACTATTGTCTACCCAGTGAAAACTCAGCCTCCTCGATACCCAGCAAATATAGTTTGTCTCTACACGGCTGATTTTTTGTGTTCCCGGTCATTATTACTTCTACATATACACGACCAGTGTATTTCATTGTTCATATTTGTAATTTAGAAGAAGTTAAAATGTAAAACATTATTAACCATTGGCAAAAACAAAATATGAAGGGAACAGGTAAACAATGCCATATATTTAAAAAAAGTGTAAATCGTTTAGTTCTTCTCGCTACAGCAGTATGTAAAAGGTGTTCAAAGTTGCAGTTAAGGTGTAAGGCCTAACACCCCTTTCCACTTTTACTAAGAAGAAAAACCCAGTGGGAAATAATCCAATCCTGTGACGTTTTCACTGAGAACCTAGTGAAGATATAGATTCCACTAGCCCGGTCCACTAGGTCTGTAACAGAGGCCAGTGGTGTATTACATGACTTCACTGAAACATCCGGTTATCGCAGTGGAAATGTCCATCGGATGAAGACGAGTACCATTTGTTTCCTTTTTTTCTCGCGCATCAAAATTTAAAATGGAAGCTCAGGTATTCGCCATGAAAAGCCTGGAACTGGTAAAACCTTGTCAAAACTCATACATGTATAGGTCATATAGATAAAGGAAACATCTTTCAAACGTATCGAAAAAGTTTCAGTTGAAAGGGAAAACAGGCCACTGCCGTATCAGAAAAGTTCAATTCATTCCGCAATTTTTTTTTTCCTGTGGACAGCATAGAAGAAGGCTTGGGCGTTTTCCATGATCCCAACCGAAAATTCCGATTTCCTGGTTTGTACATGTATGGTAAGAGACCGGCATCAAGAAACTCAAAACATCCAACTTTGCTTAGCACTTCGCTGGCTGTTTGATATTAAACTTTTTGTAACTCTCTGACTTGTAGTTTGATTCCCACTTCGACAGATCCGAGCGAAGATTGCTAGTCAAACACGGGCCTTTAAATAACCGACCAACCCAACCCCAGATTCTCTCTAGCTGTGACGGGAAGTCGAAAGGGGCTGTTAGAGAAACTAAAAAAGGAATGAAAGCATAATGCTTTCATTTAAATCCGGCCCTTGCATTTTGTTTCTAAATACGAAGTTTCCAAAATGGGAATCGCTTCATGTGATCTATTGATTAGAAGATTATTGAAGCGGAATGATGCCAGAAGCAAAGAAGATGATTAGAGTTACGTTACGACTTTTTAAATTTTTATTTTATATTACGAGTATTAATTAAGACTTTTGTTGGTGTGGCTTATCCCAAGTCCAATACTCTTCCAAGGATCCTTGCTGTTTCCTAGCCTGCGGACACAAACGTATTTCCGGTCGTCGCTTGGGTGGAGACAAGCGACGACCGGAAATACGTCTGTGTACGCCGGCTAGCTGTTCCCAAGAGGTATAACTTCTGTAGCAGCTCTAGTTCCTTGGCCACGTCAGCACAGCAGATCCTCATATGGGTTGCATTACGAGATGGCAACTTCCTTGCTGTTACGATGCCTTATTATCTCTTTTCATTTTCTCTTTTTTTGCTTGTTGTGTATGTGTGTGTGTGTGTTTTTTTTAGATTATGGGTACCTTGTCAAATTAAACATTTTCACATTTCAAATGCGTAGGAAAAAACTGTCTGTGTCGAGCAGGAGTGTTAATTTTTATTGGTTTATAATTACTCAGAAAAAAAAAAAAAAAAAAAAAAAG